TTCATGGAACAATAATAGTTTTCATGATTAAAAGTACTTAACCATTAATCACACCTATTCACAAATTACATGTAACACATCACAGTACTGTTTTAGTAGTACTTTTTTCATAGAAAGAAATCTACTAAAATAGTCAATTTTCAGTGATTGTACCACTGTACCTAATAATGTCCAATTATCTACCTATGGAATTGTTCATCTTCATTCAGAAGTTATGGTTTAACCAGTAACTTAACAATTACTGCTGTAATCTCTCTTGTTGATTTTGTTGTTCGAGCTGCCATTGTTGCAGGTCTTCTTGCCACTGCTGTAAACTCACTTCTTGTTTCTTTTCTTTTTCCTCCAACAACTGCTGTAGTTTGTTTTGCCACTTCTCGTTTCCATCTTCTTTTTTTTTTTTGTCCCACTCTCTGACACCAATTTGTTACGTCTCTGGTCGTTTGTTAATTCTGCATAGAAATTCTTTCCGAAAAACTTCAGCAATACAAGTCCTTCCTTAAATAAAACTAGTTTATTCTTTCTCAATACAACGTTGCAATACACTTAATTCCCACAGTCAGTTAACTTAAACAAACGCTATAATTCACGAGCTTGACTCAATTGTCCGTCTACAATTCAATTCCATTGTTGCCGTCACTTCTTGGCGGTCTTATATACAAGAATACCATATATCTAGTAAACAACTGACCATTCACAAACCTTCAAGAATATCATGATGTGTTACTAGCATCACGTGACTTCCGCTGTCATAACTATATATATATACACACGCAAAATATTTATGTGTTTTCTGTCTCTTATATTAATTTCTTCCACCAGTTTCATGAATTAAGGTCACTCTTTAGGATATAATTTTACAGAGAATTTTATTGTAATTTTTGTAATTCTTAGTAACAGTTTCTACTTGAAAACATATTGGAATTGTGATACCATAGAAACTATTAGTAAGAGGTACAAAAAAGGACAATAAAATTCTCCATAAAATTATATCCTGAAGAGTGATCTTTGAAGTCATAAAACTGGTTGAAGAAATTAATAAAGGTGAGAGAAAAACAAAATATTATAATATTCTAGTGTGTTGTTATTCACATCCACAGGTGAAACTTGTGTGTTTTATTTATATATATATATATATATATGTGTGTGTGTGTGTGTGTGCATATAAATTCATTGTAATAAACATTTAATACTTTATCTGACTGTGTTTTTTCAAGTCAAAAGTTATTTGTGTTTTTCCTATCCATTGTAAACGTTTCAGATTTCATTAAAATATCTTGGTGTTGCCTCTTTTCACTTCATTAATGTATAATTTTCCCTAGTCTTTTCTGTGTGTATGTGGTATGTATTCCCTCTTTTTTAATGTTTAATTCACATGTATACAATATAGTCATACTTATGTGTATCTTAGTAAGCATTTTACTATTAATAATTATAACTTTAAAAAACATGGTTTGTGATTCTCCACCTTAGGTAAAAGTTAATTTTCATTCAGAAGTTATAAAGATGTGGTTTGATCAAATGAATTTCATTTTACTACCTAGTTACCTACATATATGTAAGAAAAATAAAATAATGTTTTTTTTGTGCATTCTGTATGTGTAGGATTCATTCACATGGTTTATAGGATTCTGATGATGCAGCTTGCAACCATGTTGGGATTTACTGCTCTGTTCCTTTCTGTGTAAATAATCATTTATATGATGTATGTATGTGTGTCTAGAAATTGACAAGGAGAAAATCTTTAAGGCTAAATTAACTATAAAGAATACTTGCAATATCAGAATAACTACAGTAATAAAAAATAAAGTAATATCATGTTTAACACTTAATGGTAAGAGGAAAAACCATATTTTTGAAATAAAATATACTCTATCCAAAAGACTAGTTTTAACACATTGGTGTATCTAAGAAGAATATAAAATAAAAACAAAAAAGGAAGCATTAATTGGGAGAAATGAATAATTTACAGTCATCATTATCACAGAGATGAAATGAATGACACTGCACCTTATGTATCAGGATTGGACAAAATTAAAATACCATATTTTTTAATTGTATTATGTTTGTAAGGGTAGTATAGCCTTAGGTAATTTATTTGTGTATAAATTATTCTATATAATTAAATTTGTCTACACATAAATATATTATTATTGTATTTGGAAGAAAAAAAATCCTCAAAATGCAAAAACCTAAGAAAAAATGGCTTCAATAATATTAAAATTGGACCAAAGGACAATGGAAGATGTGATGTGATCAAATAAGTCATCTTTTACACTTTTCCCATCAAATGGGTGTACTTTTGCATGGAGAAAATGAAATGCTTACAACCCTGAATGTTTTTTGCCATCAGTTAAGCATGGCAGAGGCTGTTTTGGTATGGATAGATTTTTTGTTGGAATAGTTTAGGACATATGATTCCACAAATGTTTAATTAAACTTTATTGTAGAGCACATTCACCCTAGGATGAATACTTCATTTCCAAATGTATCTGGTCTGTTTCAAGAACATAATTCATCAATTCCATACATGAGAAATTTCCATTGAGCTCCAAATCTTTTGCAACCAAAGGTCTATTTGTGAAATAAGTACAAGTTCATGAGTGCTTGCCAAAAGAGATCTAAAATGTTATTGGGAAATACCCTTTCTACGATACATAAATGTAAGGAATTTCTTTTTATATTAATTGGTGATGTATCAAACATTTCTATAATTTTTTGTGTCTGTACGATTCATTGCTACCTTTGAAAGATTCCTCATGATTTTAACCAATCAAATGACATGATATTTATAGTTTGTGCAAAAATCTCTCAATTATTTTGAGTCAGCTGCAGGTAAATTCAGTGCAGAATGAATAATTTTACATCCTGTTTCTTTTTCCCAGTCTTATTTTTAAAAAAGGAACAATATTTTCATAGCAGTTAGTGTTTTAGGTAATGTATACATTCTTATGAAAATTTCTGACTGGCAGGGTTTCTCCCACTATCTTAGCCAAGTATTTGCAAAAATTTGATTAATACCCAACTCTGTATAACTTCATTTTTAGTAAAAACACTTTCTATGATTCTGTATAAGGTGCCAAATTCACTTAAAATAGTCATCATGAAATTAGGAAACATAACAGAAATAGTGTTTTGTTTTTAAGTGAAGACTTGGGAACAAACCACAGATCTGAGAATTCTTTATAGTCAGGGTCGTAAGCTAGGATGATTTGAGTGGTAAAAAACAGTCTAACCCATAGATGCATGTGCCTGCATCTGCCGTCATCATACCACCACCCCCTTTTGGGCCAAAAAAAAGTTATTATTTTCATGTTTAGAATTTTAATGACTTTGCAAATTCCTTCGGAAAGTCCAATAAAACACTTCACATGATCAGTCATGTGTTATAAGGTGAATAACAAGACTAAAAAAATAAAGGCAGAGACAAATTTTACTGCAGGCTGAGTTATATTTTTCTGATTGATACATCTTTAACAGCAGGTAATTCATACAAATTAGACACAAGATTTAAAAAAAAAAAGGTTTTATGCAAATACACATTGTTATACTTTTATATTTTAGATAACCTAAAATTTTTTAAATATTTTTACACACCACTGTGGATAATATTGTCTCATGTGTTAATCAAGTACAAGGGAATTATCATAGCATGGGTCATTTGTTCAGTTTCATGTGCAGGTTTTTTCCTGTGGACTTTTCTTGAAAAGTATTTTGCAACAAAGGTTATTTGCTTCATGTCTTTTCAGTGTTTGTTTCTAACTGGCTAATTGTGAAGTAAACTGTAAACACAACAAAGAAAAGTGTTTGTTTCTTACAAGCAAATTGTGAAATAAACTGTACTGTGACATCAACAAAGAAAAGTGTTTGTTTCTAACAAGCTAACTGAGAAGTAAAATGTACTGTGACATCAACAAAGAAAAGTGTTTGTTTCTAACAAGCTAATTGTGAAGTAAACTGTACTGTGACATCAACAAAGAAAAGTGTTTGTTTCTAACAAGCTAATTGTAAAGTAAACTGTACTGTGACATCAACAAAGAAATTTTTCATGCTTATGGTGAACATTTTTCCAGTGATATTTAGGGCCGGGCAGGCAGAACGAGGCCTGGGTGGCCCCGCTTTCCATAGTTACAATCCTGTTTATAGTTTCATGAAATATTATTTTCATTCTAAATTATATCTGCTAGAAAGTCACAGAAATGTTCTTATAACAGAGTTCCCATGTGTCCATGAAAAACATGCAATATGGAGAAAAACATAAATGTCCTGCAAAAGTCATAGAAAACTGTGACTTTATGAAATTCTTTATCTGGTTTAATAGTGGGGAAGAGAGAAATAAGTCTACTTAAATTGTAAGGATTAAAAATAAATATTTTTGATTTTAAATATTAAATGTAATTTGAAAATAAGTGGAATACTTTGCCACTTTTGTTGATAAATGTATATATATATTTAGTCCTAACATTCAGTAAAGTGTGATAGTTTCTAGGACGATTGCCAGGGAATTTTATTCTTTTGATCATTTTATTTTCATACGAAAACTACTTGTGCTGAATTATTTCCTCACAAAGATTTAAATACATGAGTAACTTAAAAGTAATATCTATCTTTAAAGGTTTATGATAATAAAAATCTTAAAAACAGCAAAACATATATAGTATATACACACACACACACACACACACACACACACACTATTGGTAATAAAAAGCTAATAAAAAAATTTAAACATTTTTCAAAATACTAAGTAGCAGACATTAAAAACCCAAAGGAATGTATACATGTAAGGAAACACTCTTAATGGTAGAAGAAATCCATTTCTAATCAAGAATTAAAACATTTTGATTCATGTACATATTCAGTAGTAGGTTCCCCACACACACAAACAGTTTTAATCTTTTTTTACAGTGAGGCAACATTTCAAACAGTAACTTTTTAACCTTACTTTGAAAACCTTATTCATTACCAAATATAAAATGTAGATTAATGGCAAAAACACAAAATCAAATAATATTTTCATATTTTATTCAATGAAATGTAACATTACAGACAGTATTTTTCTTATCACCTACAAATTTTTATACTGAAACCTTACATAATTATTTTCAAATCCTATAATCTATGGATGTTACAAACTCCCTCTTATTCCTACATTAATGAAAAGGTAAGTGAAAGTAGTTTTACAACTAAGCTTCTCCATTGCAGATTGACAACAGGTCCTCATCAAACCACTACTTTCATCAACCTCTTCTTATCTGTGGGTGGAATACTTTTCAGAAAGCAAATAGCAACAAGAAAGCCATCATCAGACAAAACAGGCCCATGGCCTCAGAAAGGGCAAAGCCCAAAATAGCATAAGAGAAAAGCTGTTGTTTCAGTGATGGGTTTCTGGCATAGCCAATGATTAAACTACCAAATACACTGCCAATACCAGCTCCTGCAATAAAAATGACAATTTTTGAATCACTAACAAGTAACAGTAAAAGACAATTTTAAATGTTCACATAAGACACAGCTACAGAAATGTAATATAATGCATAAGAAATAAGGTAATATATATAAATTTTTCTCAAGCTGCATTAAACAGCAAAACCAACAAACCTGATCCAGCAACACCAACAGTGGCAGCACCAGCTCCTATGAATTTGGCAGCAGAGTCAATATCTTTTTGTACTGCTGAAGTCTGTAGTGTCCTTATAATCTGCATAATGAATTTGACTGCTTTGAGTTTCATTAATGTAATCTGTAATCCTGACATTAAGATATAAATGAACTAAAAC